TTAAGCCTTGATTTTATCACTTTTTTTGGGGCTGCAGAGAAGAGATATGCTCCACCAGTAACATAACAATGATTTGGTGGACCGAGCCATAATGAGTATTTATAGACAAGCCAAAGTGAATTAAACTGGTGATATTAGAGGCTTCTTAAAAAGACAGCCGCTTTTCTCCTTTCACATTGGATTTAATGTGGAAAAGGCATTGGTTGTTAAAAAAGAAAAGAGGCTGAGTGTGAGCTTTCCCTTAAGATTCATTTGAATATCAATGAGATTTGAATAGTATCTTGTTCTGTCCTGTGGAGGGCAGCATTACGCCGTACAGTGTACAGTGTGCCGGAACCTCAGAAGAAGAAGAAGAAGAAGAAGAAGAAGAATATGAATGAGGTAACTCACCACCTGAATTTTGTCGCTTACTCATCTTGCCAGACTTGTTTGATTTCTTTCCGGAGAGTTACCGATCATCAAGCAAGACTGCAGAAATTATTAATAATAATATTTATTATTATAAATAATAATAATAATAATAATAATAATCGTCATCATCATAATGCGTGAAAATTAAAAAAATCTAAACATCAAGACATTTCATATTTTTTCAGTATGCAGCAAAAGACTGTAAATAAGTTCTGACTTATATTAAGGAGCATTAAACTGCACTTATGTCTACTCAAAAACAAACTGGTGAAAAAACAGTGAATATAGAGCATGCCTGGCACTTGTTTTAGACCTGCATAAGAAGCCTTGCAACACCTAAAAACAGCCTGCGAACAGCTTGATGCAAAAGTTACCGCCATTCAGTTGATTTCCTTGAGAGCACTACAGCCGTTGTACCAGCTGAGTAATAGGACTTTAACGATGCTTCTAAAATGAAAAGCATTAATTTCTGTTCTCTGATTGTGCCGTATATGATGTGTAGTGTATCAACACTAGTTCCTGGTGAGCATATACGGTTTAACATCACTAGCTTTCAAATCCAAATCTTCCATTAGTACAAGAAATGAGTGAAACTGGGAAAGTATTGCATCTGAACAGCTGATTTAATACATTTCTGGGATTTATCTTAATGTTTAGTCTCGACTGACCCTGCGTGCTGATGGTATCCGTCTGCTTCGATCCTGATTTTCCGCATGTAATACTACACCTCGCGGTTCACTCTTCAATAGTGCAAATTGGCAAATCCTTCTCTGGGACAGACTCTCCACTACATAGCGATGGGTGGAGTAGAGTTGCTGTTCATTCAGCTAAAGAGACCTGCAGCACACACAGTACAGGAGAGCACTACCCCTGATTGGATAAGCCTGGCATTTATACTACACCTGCAGTTTCATTTCTGACGAAATGAAACTAATTAATGCAATATTTGTTTATTTCTGACTCTGGATATTTCGGTTTCAGATACTCACTTTTACTTCTAGATTTTACAAGTAACATACCAGCTGACTTTATCTTTCTCATTTTGTTTGTTTATTTTGGTTGAGGTGTAAACCAAGATTGGAGTGTGATTGATTCCTTGCACTATTACAAATGCCTCCACATGTTTCTGTTTTTGGCAAATAGTTTAGCCAGGTTTGCCTGGGCCCGGGACAAGGTGACCCCAGAGGACTCTCCCCCCTCGCCACGCCCTGCCCCAACTGACAAACACACCCTATCCCCCAGACAAAAGGCATAGAGACATTCCTTTACATTAAATCAATGACTGTTAATAAACCACATTTTTTTAGCCAATCTTCCAGATGTAAATTTGTAAAACAGATACTGGTTGTACTACACATGCCATGCCCAGAAACTCATACACACAGTATTATTCAGCAGATAGGCACGTTTTAGTGGTTAACAAATGTAACCCATAACATGTCATAACATGAAATTTCGACGTAACAAAGAAGCCATCAGAATCATGACTCAATAGTTCCACTGTCTTTGGATTTTGTTGGTGTTTACATGGTCAGGTTTGAAAACTAAATGCATGACATGCGTCAAACTGTCATGGTAGCAAAATCATTGATGTGGTCTTAAGTCCAGTTTCTGGGAAAGTTGACGCTCAATGGAGAGCGTTGCCAAACCGTTGAACCTCTCCTGGGACATGGTAGAGTGCAGGGCCGGCACCAGAACTGGAAATTTGGGGGAGCACAGATACATCCCTTTAAAACAATTATTAGTCCTGACTTGTTCTCAATCATTTTCTAAATTTACAATACATTCACTCCGAAAACACTTCACACTATCAGGCGTGCTAGTTCTCCCGTTAAGGTAAGATGACAATCATTCATTTGGACGCCAAATTTGGTGCATTTAAATCCGCATTATTCAAAATTGCATACCCGTCAAGTCTCACGCTTTTTTGTGGTATATCACGTTCTTATGCCGCAGTCAGCAGTCTAATACTTAATAACAAAAGTGAAGATTGAAAATTTTAATTTGGCAAACAAAATTATATTTATTTGCTCAGTCCCACTTTTTAATCAACCCATGCTGTATTGAGTGGCGATATTTCATTTTTCATTTCATATTTCGGACTTCTCGCGCTTTTCTTTTCTCAGAGGTTGGAAGCTATGAATTGCGTAAAGATGTTTCAAATGTTCTTTTATTTCATTTCAACAATTTAAACGATCATGAAGCGCAGGTTAGATCGCCTGATGTGCCGAAAGGCAGCGCAGAAGTTCCAGAGCAGTTTATCTTATGTAAAGCATAGGCCTATTTCTAAGTAAATTATTTTTCTGTACTGAATTTAGTCCATTTTTTCGTCGCTGTTAGATCACATGGGGCCGTGCCTTCAATTGCCAATTGATTATTACTATAATTGGAAAATGTGTTAATAAAGGAAAATAATTGAGAACAGGACTAATAATTGTTGTAAAGGATGTTCTGGCCCCCCAATTTTCAGTTCTGGGCGCTGGCCTGATAGAAACACAAAGTAAATTGTGGGAATGCTACAATTTGAGAGTGGATGACAGCAATTATCAAATTAATTTATTAGAAATGAAATCTAAACTTTATCCAAATACCATGTTCAGCAGCATTTGCTTCAAATAGGAATTTCGAGAAATTATAGTTAATTGCCATCCATGCAATCTCATATTGTAGCCTGCTCTCTGATGCTGAAGGCTATGTGTCTTAATCATTATTGGTGTAAGAGTTGTGCTTTGTACACAGTTCAGGTGCATGGAGAACAGGACTTTGAGGACTGGACTCAGGTGCAAGGATGGACTTGGTAGCATATTGTGCCTACTGCGCAGCACAAGGCACGCACGAAGCAATACAAAACAAACAGGAATCGAGGTTCCTTAATATAAACACTATTGGTAGTACAAACACTGAGCACAGACTGCAGTAACAATGTATTACAAATAGAAAACGAACAGGAAGCGAGGTTCCTTAATATAAAGTGCTGGTAAAAAATAAAAAAAACACCACTAAGTTAGAGTATATATACAGTGCCATTAAAAAAGTATTTGCCCCCTTCCTGATTTCTTCTTTTTTTTACATATTTGTCACAATTAAATGTTTCAGATCATCAAACAAACTGTAATATTACACAAAGATGACCCAAGAAAATACAAAATGCAATTTTTAAATGATGATTTCATTTACTGAGGGAGAAAAGCTATCCAAACCTACCTGGCCCTATGTGAAAAGTAATTGCCCCTTAAACTTAATAACTGGTTGTGCCACCCTCGGCGACAACAACTGCAATCAAGCGTTTGCGATAACTGACAATGAGTCTTTCACATTGCTATGGAGGAATTTCAGCCTCTTGCAGAATTGTTTTAATTTAGCCACATTGAGGGAATGCAGTCTTTCTCATTTTCAGATAAAGCTTCTAATGAGGAACACTGTATAATGTCCATTAAGCAAGATCTAAAGGGGACAAATACTAAGCCAAGAGGTTGACGAAGGTAAATCAAAACCGAGCATGTCAGTACATTTGTTCTTTAAAGATGAGAGATGCCCTGTAAAAGTTCAGCTGGAGTTTCTCCTATGTTTCAATGTAAGAATAGTGATGTTCTAGCCAATGGTCATCAATATTTTTTGATCTTATTGATTGGCAAAAACCATCTTACACTAGTAGGTCTCTGTCTCTATGTACTTAATAAAACATCTAAAATAGCAATGCCAGTCAGTTGTTGTGTTATAGGTTGTACCAACAGGTTCACAGAGGGTTCAGGAATCACGCTTTTGCGGAATTTAATTGAAGAACCAAAGGGGCTACTTTCCATGTTATTTATGTCCTGATCACGCTTTCTACCAACTGCCACACTGCGCATGTGTACAACTTTGACGTCACTGTTGGTAAACAGTGAACATCGCTATATATTCTGCCTCCATTACGCTGTTTTAAATGTCAAAGCTAAGGTCATTTGGCAGTACAATGCAAAGGGAAAGTTAGATGTGCTAGATGTAGTGGGGAACATGAATACGGCAAATGTGGCGAGAACTTCAAAATTAAACTTTGCAACTGCGGGGGACAGCACAGTGCTGTTTATGAAATCTGAGTACAAGCAAGGCTTCAAGGGAAGTCAGAGGTACAAAGTACTGCGCCAGAAAAATTATTCGTTCCCCATCCTTAGTGCTAGTCGCTACAATTGAATTTACGCTTTTGGCGGCCTTTGCTGGTTGTCTCGTCTTGTCTTTGTTCTTAATTACAGGTAAGCCACACCTGTCCTAGCCCTGCCCATACCTATAAAAGGACTCTGGGTACACATCTGAGAGTTGAGTCCTATCTGAGCTATGTTCTGTAATTGACTTTTACTCTAGTGTAGTGTAGACTTTTGCTCAAGCGTGTCTCTTGTTGGACACTGCTTTGGATTTCACCGGCTACCAAATAAATGTTATCTCAAAATCCACGTATTTTGACTCGCTGCACTACCAAAAATGTGTCCTTTCTTGAATTTCTTCAGCCCCAAGAAACTGGTCCTCATTTGAGACCAATAATCCAGTAATGGGAGGAGCTACTCCTAGGTTTGGAATTCAATGAAGTTAGAGTACTTCTGTCATTAAGGGTCTACTGCATGGAGTGCAGTGGTTAGCATTTCTGCCTCACAGCAAGAAGGTTGTGGGTTCGAATCCGGCCTGGGGCCTTTCTGTGTGGAGTTTGCATGCTCTCCCCGTGTTCGTGTGGGTTTCCTCCAGTACTCCGGTTTCCCCCACATACGTTGTAGAAAAACATGCATTATAGGAACACTCCAACTAGTACCCCTGACCAAGGAACTGGCTTTAGAACTGGAGTTGGTCCCCGGGCGCTGCTCTGTGGCTGCTCACTGCTCCTAACTATAGGATGGGTCAAATGCAGAGGACAAATTACCCCCACGTGGTTCAATAAAGTGAATCTTATCTTAGTCCAAAAAGGTTCATACTGTCTGTAGTACTGAATTAGCTTTAGCGTTCTTATTTTCGAACGAAACGATCTCGTATTTCAAATTTAATATAATAGTCTGCCATCATGTGTGGTTTTTTCATGGAGGACTTTCAAACGACAGCCATAATTTCGGCACGGAACGAAATCGTCCCACGCTCTGGAAAAGATACGTGGACAACATCTTGGAAAAAATAAAATCAGGACATACGCAACAACTTACAGATCATTTAAACAGCATGGACCGTACTGGAAAAATACAATTCACGCATGAAGAATAGACAGACAAAACCATAGCGTTTCTGTCCATAAACATACATCACACCAATGAAAGAGATATTAAAATTAAAATATACAGAAAGCCCACCCACACTGATCAATACCTGCTTTGGTCATCTGAACACCCCATAAATCACAAACTTTCCGTGGTAAGAACCCTGTTTGATCGTGCATCCATCATCACAGAAGACACGGACAAAAAAGAGGAGAGGAACATATAGCCTTCTTGCAGCACTAAAAGAAATGCCAGTACCCACTATGGACCATAAACACAGGCAAACAACAAGTACAACAGAAACAAAAAGCAGCGAGCATTCAGAAAGCGAAAAAGCAAAAGCCGAAACCAAAAAGATGGAATTACGTTACCATACATAGAGGCGTCTGAAGCAGATTCAGGGCCATGCAAAAATTCACATCAACATCCGGTAAAACCATGCATTAAATTACGACAACTACTGGTGCACCGAGCCAAACTGACGGCATTGTTAACAAATGTGACGTCATTTATGAAATTCCATGCCTGTCTTGCCATAAAACATACATTGGGGAAACAGGTAGACCTTTTCACACACGTAAAAAACAGGTAGACCTTTTCACGCACGTAAAAAAACAGGTAGACCTTTTCACGCACGTAAAAAACAGGTAGACCTTTTCACACACATAAAAAACAGGTAGACCTTTTCACACACGTAAAAAACAGGTAGACCTTTTCACACACGTAAAAAACAGATAGACCTTTTCACACACGTAAAAAAACAGGTAGACCTTTTCACACACGTAAAAAACAGGTAGACCTTTTCACACACGTAAAAAACAGGTAGACCTTTTCACACACGTCAAAAAGAACACAAAAAAAAAATGTGAGAAGGAGACAACAATAAGACAGACACGCTCACTGAAAGTACAAGCACAACAGGTAAACCTCAAATCAGCAATGACAGACCATTGCAAGAGGGAAACTCATATTATGGACTGGGACAAGGCCAAAATCATCCGCACACATAAAAACCGATATGAACGCTGGATCATGGAGGCAATTGTAATCAGGAAGTGGGCCCATAGGACTATGAACCGGGACGAGGGGGCATATATGCTTTCCCACACCTGGAGTACCATCTTGGAGGAGCGGCCGGACAGCAGGAGGCGTGGCCGCCCTGTCAAATTTGACAGGGCGGCCACGCCTCGTTAGCATCAGCTGATAAGACACGTCACTCACAACATCAGTGACTCTTCTGAAGAAGACGGAAGACATCCGTCGAAACATGTTAAGGTAGGATAAAAACCTTTTCTGTCTGAAAATAAGAACGTTAAATCTAATTCTGTATCTTATCTTATTTTGCTGTCTCCATGGAGTAAGCTTCCATTAAAATTAATTGGAGATATTTCCCCTGAAAACGGTGCCTTAAATTGAATGGGTGAATTCAATAAGAGCCCAACTTCACACATTTTCAGCATGGAGTTGGGCCCTGAATTCACTGATTCAACTGTCATGTCCTATAGGTTCTCTGTTAAGCATCAATTGGTGTAGATGAATAAGTCACGACAGATTCATACTTCTTTTACAGCATACATACTGAAAGAGGCCTACCAGCCATATAAAATGGGTAGGGTTTCTGATTATGGGTTGTTTACACTGTCAGAGAAAACAAGCAAATTCATTCTTCAAATTTTTTTTTTTTTCTTGTTAAGTGCGACTGTAAGGGCCTGCTTTTTAAAATGTATTACATGTGTGTTTACATCTTTCATTATATTTACATATGATAGGGAGTGACTGGCTACGTCTGTTTCAGGGATACTTTCATGCAAAAATGCAGACGACCTCATCATGGCACAGTCCTGCTTAGGAACATGGCAGTGTAAGAGCCGACTCGCGCCAGCATGACACAGTTAAGAGCAACAGGAGATGGTGGGTTGAAACCCACTTGAAGAAGGGCTTCTATTTTACCCTCTACTCATCGTCTCTTCTGTAAATGTCAACTCTAGAAGGACACTGCCAAATACAACACCCTGTTTGCTGATAGTTAGTATGTACCTCTAGTGGCCTTTTGTGAAATGCATGACACCTGAGGCACTCCAGATTTATATTACTGAAAGGATTTTAGCTGAATTCAAATATAATGCAAAGGGCATAAAAATACGTTTTACACCACTGTATATACTAGAGAGTAGCTACAGATGTGAATACATGTAAATGGCAGCATTTTGCAGAGTAATATCTGTAAAATTATACCTTCAGCTCAGTGCAGCCTATGATATAAAAACAGCAGTGCTTATTGTGAAAATGAATGTGCAAATAAACAGAAATGAGATGGAGTTATTCAGGAAACATTAGAAAGGTTTATTCAATAAAATTCAATTATCCCCACACCTTAGAAACCAATTAAATTCAGACCGATTTGAGCTCACATGATGAACATCTTATAGATCCTTCTGGCATGAATGAAAACTACAGCATTAAAGAAATTAATATGTATACATTTCTCTCAACATTTTTGGACCACATCCCAACACAATTTCCCAACACAGATCGCTAAACTAATGTGAGCTCTTATAGCAGAGTGCTGCTATCTTTCAAAAGTGTTCACATACAGTTTAATTCACTTGATAAATGAATGATTGAAAAATGAAACATTATACGATACATTTTTGAATGTAAAAAAATTCAGATGACCGATTTTCCAGTTTTTAGGAAACTACTCTGAAAACGCAGTTGCTACCAGATACCTGGCAGCTACCAGGCAGGGATCCTAACATCATCTTGTTCCCCAAGACTTGACTCAAGAGAGCAATGCCTTCATTTTGACTTGGGGAAATGTAAAGGTATGAGCAACTGGCAGTTGACAGATCGCACCCTTTGAATTTGGGGTTCTAACTGATATTTTGGTCAAAATTGAGTTAGCTACTGCATGTAATTGGTAATAAACAGTTCTATCTAATAATTAAGCACGGGAATTCAATTAATTTGTTAAATTTGGTTCAGATCAGAATTACAAAGTTCCAGTTCCCTAAGTGTACGCTGAGCGCCGAAATTTGCAAGCAAATTCCTCAAAACTTTATAAATGTTAGTTAGAACCCTGTAATTTTAAGGTCCCGAGATGGAAACCAATGATAAATCTCTCGATGACTCTCTGCTGCCCCAAATGGCAATGGGCCATTTTGTTCCTTTTCTTTGTTTGTGTTCCTCCTTTGAGGAATCCCCTCAGGTGCAAGGAAAACTCACTGATAATGAACAATACATATTGAAATGGAGTAAGGCATTCAAATAATCTGTTGGAATGAAAGTATTTGTAAATGGATGGAAATTAACCTATATGTTTAGTGATAATGGAGTGTGGGACACAGAAACTGAGGGAAGAGGAAACAACTCAAGGTTTGATGCAGCCCAAGCTTTTTTTTTTTTGCCTTTTTGTTTGTTCAATTTCTTTTTCCTATTGACAGTGTAGTATAGTCCAGTGCCTGTTCAATTGCTCCATGAGTGGTATTGCTGCTTCCTTGATTTCTGGAAGATTTCTTCCTTGATTTCTCTCAGCCAAACAACTTCAAACTCGATGCCGCACTGTCTTAGGTCAAAGACCCAAGTGCATAAACAAATGCCCTCGAACATCAGTGAACTGAAGCAATGTTGTAAAGAGGAGTTGGCCAAAATTCTTCCACCGCGATGTGCAAGACTGATAAAATCATACAGAAAACAATTACTTCAAGTTTTTGCTGCGAAATTGGTTTTGCCAAGATTTTGATTCATGGTGTAATAGCATTTTTTTTCACTGATGGCTTCTGCATTTTGGCTTATTTTTGTTAAATAGATAATGACATGGTGGAATCTGTTTTGAGTTCTTTTACACCTGAGGTTAGATTTACCGTATCTTAGGACCTGGTAAGGACCAGCTGATTTTTTATTATGTCTTGATGCATAAAACTACATGACTGAAAAAGGGTGTACTTTCTTTTTCTCATGACTGTAATATACAAAACTGAATGTACTTCAACCATCAACAAATTGCTGGAAAATATAAAGAAACTGCTAGACTAATTACATCTTGTGGCTTGACCATGAACTACTTAATGCATAGAACCACATTTACCGATGGAAGAAGGTGACTGTGGAAGGAAAGCTTACAGTAATCATCAGCGAAGGCCCACATCCAACATGAGAGCTTTGGTCTTTATCTCTCTCTGTTTCTCTCGCTCAAACTTTTTGGAGGAAGTTGTTGTTCAGGAAGAGCATCATGTCGATATTTTCAGGCTCTAGTCGAAGCCGCTGAAGTCTGTAAACTTCACCAGACTTCGAAAACGCTTGCACTGTGGGAACACAGGTGCTGACCATGCCGAGGTATTTGCGAGCTGCTAAACTGAGATTTGGGAATTCCTCATTCCTGAATCGCCACCAGGACAAGGGATTTCCTTCCCTTGGGATTTTCTCTTTGGCTTTGTATTTGCGCCATTCGTC